TTTTAGCCTGGCTAGTCTACATGTTTTCTGTGCAGTCAAGCTCAATAAATCAGATTAGAGCTTAGAGCAGGATAGAGCTTACTGTGTGTGTGTTAGTGTGTGTGCACATGATTTACAGCAGTGCAAGGCCGAGGCTGAGGGACTGATGGACAGATCCGGACACACACAGAACTTCATTCCTGAAAAATGAAAGTAAAGACACAGATATTAGTAGTACAATGAATACTTGTTTTGTCCGTGTCTTCACATTATTGTTATCTCTGATTTCCCTCAAGGTCAGACAGTCACAGAACAACTGGTCCTGCTCTGTGCTCTATATGTTCTCTATCAGTATGCATGTTCTCTTTCTCTGGCGCACTATTTAAAAAGGCAGATTCGCTGCTCTATCTGCATTGGTGGTTAGCGTTCATGCCCCCTGCTCATTGGCTGCCAGCAGCTTCCAGTTCAGCCAACCAGAGAGCAGCGCTGCAGCAGTTAGTGATGGGCAGATTATACACGGCTGCACCGCGAAACACACATTCACATTTATACATTCCTGTACTGTACACCAAAAACAATCATAGAGATGCATCACACACACACACACACACACACACACACACACACACACACACACACACACACACACACACACACACACACACACACACACACACACACACACACACACACACACACACACACACACACACACACACACACTGCAGAGCCTCCTCACTGATGTCTCCTCACTCCTCTGGCCGTCCATCAGCTGTTCTTCGACCTTTAGCTGTGCAAACTGCAGCTATCTCTTATGAGTGTGATCAGAATCTGAATTGAGTTTATTGCCGGTACGTTCAAACATACAACCATTTTGCTTTGGTGTATGGTGGTGCAAACATAAAAAACATAGGAAAACATAGGAAAATAATTCAAACATATACTTATTATAAAAAGAAAATATAACAAACAGCAACTATTTATCATTAAAAAAGAGTAAAAACAAGTATTTACACCAAATAAAAATATAGAGAAGAAACATAAAAAAACTAAGTACAATGAATATACTGTATGACACTATATGTCAACTGTAGTTTATTATATTTTAAAGTGGAAACAAATAAACTCATACCAATTATTGCAATCAATAATAATAATCTAAAAGAAAATACTTTTGCTTTATTAAATGACGATAGTAAATGTATATATCAGTTCTATGACTGTGTGTGTTTCCGAACTAAAGAAAGCTTGGATGCAGCTCTTGTTAGTTATTCATTGATTGTTTCAGCCTTACTGGACACACTGACTCTATGATGGCAGTCAAACTAATAGCATTGATGCTGCTGACCCTTTGCTGAACAACAACACACACACACGCACGCACACGCACACACACACACGCACACGCACACGCACACACATTCACACTGACCATCTGCATAGTTTGGAAGAGGGTCTATGGTCAATAAGTATTCGCGACTAACACCAAAATGATAATCACCGTTATTTTTTATGAATATTCAGTTCACAATCATTTTACTCATTTTGAGCTACATTCCTGTTAGTTAACAAATTAGGTCTCCATAATATTGGAAACAAACTAATATTGCAATATTTGTCTGGCTGTTACTTTAGAAAGTGCTTAAGTTCATATTCAGTGATGAGTCATTCATGTTTGAAACATGCGCTAAGAATTTTGGGAAGCCAATATCTTGATCGCAATTGATGAAATCGTGCAGCCGTAATGGTCAGCAGTGGTTCTCCTGGTTCTCCTGGTTCTCTAGGTCAGTGTCCTATGGCATCTGTGAGCAGGCCTCAGGAGTGACACACAGCCTGTGGTGATAGTGATAGCTGCTGTGGATAATATCACATGCTGTACACTGTTTCAAGTGTGGCACCTGCTCTCCTTTGTTCTCTCTGTCTCTTCTTTCTGCTCCCCACTGTGGCTGATAGAAGCCCACTGATGCACAGCCGTGTGTATGTCTGTGTGTACCAGTGTGTATGTGTGTCCATGGCCAATGCTCACTGCTGCCTCCCGTTACTATAGCAACAGAGTTTTCCCACTCCTATCACGTGTATGTTTTTTTCCGAATACTGAATACTCGGTGTACTAGATGTATTGTGTGTGTGTGTGTGTGTGTGTGTGTGTGTGTGTGTGTGCGTGCGTGTGTGTGCGTGTGTGTGCAGACTACAGTTTCATCCTCGCTCTGGACGTGTTCAGGTTATTAAAGTGATTGCTGATAGAAATCTGTGCATGCAGATGGGTCTCACTCTGGTGGACAGATATAGAACTCTACATATACGGTCTATGATATATAGAGTTTATAGGGATGGTCTTTCAATTCATCATGGATGTTTACTTAATGTATATGCAGAGCAATACATGACAATCTGTACAGATGCTTTAGTCTGTGTTGTGAAATCATTTCAGACAGTCCACATAGTTTATCAGTGCACGTTTCTAATCATTCATTAGTGTAATGACACATTGCTTTAGTCTTCAGCAGAAACCAAGGCAGAGAAGCACAGAGTGATGTATTCAAAGTGCGTATGTGGTGCTGTGTTCACCCATCAGAGATCCACAGCACATCACTCAGGCGGGGGTTTGTGCACTGATGGCTTTAAAGGATCACGACTTGTCATACAGCTGCTGCTCCTCCAGTACACCACACACACACACACACACACACACACACACACACACACACACACACACACACACACACACACACACACACACACACACACACACACACACACACAAAGTGATTGACAGAACAGGTTTAACAGGAATGTCTCACTCTTGCTGTCAGCGTCTGTCCTCTTGTGCCTGACAGAGTGACATCAGCAGATCGTGCAGATAGACCGGCTGCTGTAATAGTTCTGTGTTAGTTGTTTATCTTCTTTTTTCAGCGCTGGTTCACTGTGTGCAGCCCTGTAATTCCCTGTCCCTACATGGCCTCTTATTGGCCCTGGGCCAGCGGGGAACAGTCAGTGTCCAATTGAGTTGTAATGGCCCCCACTGACAGACAGGCAGGCATTACATGCAAATGTGCAGATACACCGGTGTCTATTTATGAGCTTTCTGTTTATCTGTGGCAGTAATAAGTGTTCAGTTTATAATAACTAACACACGAGTATGGCAGGGGCACCTTTCCTTAAACTTGCCCATTTCAGCAATAATACTTAATACTAAGATAGTATGAAGTATAACAAATGTTTCACTATAATAGGTAGTGCAAACATTCCTCTCTCTGTTGAGTGTTTCCCTCTCACTGAGAGGGACTGTGCTGCATGATCAGCAGCTCAACTTATATTTCTCCAGATATCATTCCTTTTTTCTTTTCTGGTTTCTTTTGGTAAGGTTTTTTTTTTGTGTTAAAATATTACAATTCTAGGAACCAGATCTGTTCCTGTTAAGAATCACTTGTTCTATTATCGTCTTAGTTTTACTTTAAATATTGTCAAAAATAATTTCAGGCAGTCCACATAGTTGATCAGTTCACGTGTATAATCATTCATTAGTGGACTGACATTGGTTTTGAAACACATAGTTGAATAATCAGTTGGTCTTTAAAGGGAAATAAATCAACAACTGTGTGGCCCCCTTTCTTTCTTTGTTTCATTAGTATTGAATATGTTTGATGTTTTCTACAGCACACCTTTAAAGTCACCTCAGCTTTGGAGGGGCTATTGGGCATTTGTATTTGACAATCTAGGGACTAAAAGATTAAAAACGATATCAAAAAGTGTCAACAAATACATGGTAAAACAAGAATGAAAAGAATCACTAGTGTCCCCAAATGTCATTACGTTGACAGAAAAAGCTGTTAATTAAAAAGAATAATGACAAATGTGGATGGCTGCAGGGAGGCAAAGGTAGAGGCAATGACAGATAGAGGGTCACCTTTGTTGTCTGGAATGAATTAGAGATGAGAGGATGGACGGAGGGAGGACGGTGGAGCATGGGACAGATTAGATCAGGTGAGCAGGGGGAGCAGTGTCCTGGAATGACTGCTGCTCATACAAAGGAAATGCACAGAGATCAGTGGAGGTGGAGGTGTAGAGGCAGGAGGATAGATGGAGGTCATAACAGACAGATGTAATGATGGCACTACACACAGCAGCGCAGGAACACTAAACAAAGGAGGAAGACTGAAGGAGCTGTGCATGCAGGCAGGGAATGATCACTCAGTTCACTGCAGTAGTGCATTATGGGAGAGGGGGAGGGTGGGAGGCTGAGTGAGGAGAGATGCACCCGTTGATCTCTCCCTGCCTATGGAGGGAAGAGAGGGGGGAGGGGCTGGGATATATAGGAGGAGGAACGGGAAAAACAGAGGAGGGAGTAAAGATGAGATGAGGGGATGAAAACATGTAAATCACACACACACACACACACAACACACACACACACACACACACACACACACACACACACACACACACACACACACACACACACACACACACACACACACACACACACACACACACACACACACACCAAAAGTTGGTTACTGGCAGATATATCCAGTGATTCTCAGCAATGCAACACAAGTACATTATTGTCAACTGTGATCAAACTGTTTTTCATATGATCAAATAATATGAAATATATAATATAAAAAATGCTTGTGATTTACTCTTCTGTACTATTCTGTATGTACTCAAACTTTTTCTGTACATTATGTGTGAATACTTCTGAATGAATTCTCCTAAATCATCTTCTTCTTCTTCTCCTCCTACTCTCCGGTTTTATAAAATGATGGGGGATCTTTTAAAGAAAGGTGTTGCTACAGGGACATCATTTGCACTTGTAATGATGAGAAATTGCAATGTGCACATCATTTTATGAAATGAATTTTAGATTGACATGAAACACAACAAGGTTTACAAATATGTGTTTTAGATGTGTTGCTTATGTACATGTAAATATGCTATTCTTCTTATTGTTATTGTTATATTCCCTTCAAGCCGTATGTGATGTGTTAAATGACAGCTGTGTTTGTGTTGCTCTGCAGGTTTATGTGGAGTTTGATGACCAGGAGTGGGAGAAGAGAGAGTGGGTGAAGGTCTATGAGGATTTCCAGCTGTTTCTACTGGAGCACCAGCTGGTCTGGGCCAAGAGGAAGGAGGGAACAGGAAGCGGAGCAGGGGGCCTGCAGGGACCCAAGGCCAAACACATACAGTGGCCTGCCCTGGTAAGACCTCTGCTTCTATTTATAGGCTGGACACAATGATACAAAGTGCCATATGACCACACTCCTCTTCATCTATATACAGCATTTCTTCTCTGACCCCACTTTGTGATGTCACATAAATGTGTGGTCTTTCATTGGTCTAGAGGTCACTGAGTGTCAGCTGTGTGGTGTGCAGCAGCTGTTCTGTCTCGAGCTGTTTCTGTTCATGTTTCATCTTCGTTGTGAAGGGCATTGTTTGGATTATTGACACAAACTCTTTATTATGAATAATGTTGTTTAGTGACACATTCCTGGACTGTAAGAACTGCTCTTTAGTTCATTAGTGTTTCAGACTGTGATGCTGACTGGTCAATCCTTAACCTCCTTGTGCACAGCCTCATTCACACACCGTCCACCACCACATTCCATATTATGAAAGGGCAAAAGATGGACATTTATTTTATGTTTTTGGGATGTTAAAAGCGATAATGAATGATACTAAATTCATTTTGTCAAAAAACATTCATAAGATAGTTTATTTGTTTAAATTGCTCTCTTAGGCATGGCTATTTGAAGTGTATGTAAGTTGCTATGAATGAAACCGCAGCTAAGAGTAAACCGGTCAGTTATGTGAACATCTCCAAGTATGTTTGAAAAAAATAAGTAAAAAAACTGCAGCAAACTGAAAATACATGTAATGTGATGTTATATGTACAGAAATGCTGCAGAATGCAGTTCAATGAATAGCTTCCCGGCAGTGAATCCCCTCCCACTGATCTAACACGCCATAATAAAGGAGATATTGTCCCCAATTTGAAAGCCAACTAAAGTTTTCAGACAGCCTAGTTTTCTAGATTTATAACTGATAGTGGACTGTAAATATGTTGACTTTCGGGGACAGATAGTGAACATGAAAGTATTTCTATTATGCTGTTTGTAAGTAATGAATATGGATTCAGGTAATAACAAAGAATAAGTGTCCTTAATGAGGGGCTGCATATTGTGAAATAGCAGCTGATACCACAGTGACATGTCTCATACTGCTATTCAGAGAGAGGTCCCTCTTTGTTGTGTGTGTGTGTCACCATTGTGCTGCTGAGTCTGCTCTGTCACACACACACATGCTTTGGTGTGGTGCAGGTGTGGTTCCTGTGGTGTTTCTGTTGTCATGAGTGTGTCACACTTCTCCTCAAGCACACCACACGTGAGATGATGCTGTGTGTGTGTGTGTGTGTGTGTGTGTCTGTGGGTGTGTGTGTGTGTGTGTGTGTGTGTGTGTGTGTGTGTGTGTGTGTGTGTGTGTGTGTGTGTGTGTTGTGTGTGTGTGTGTGTGTTGTGTGTGTGTGTGTGTGTGTGAACTCAGTGTGTTGGAGCTCCAGGATTGTGTGTGTGTCCCTGGCTGATTTGGTTCAGAAATGTTTTCACATTGAAGGCTTTCAGTGTTAGACTGTTTGTGTGTTTCTCTGTGTGTTTTCCCCACAGTGTGCATGGAAATGTGATTCACTGTTTTGATTATGTAATAGCAGAGTGCACAGAACCATCTGGCACACGAACGGGAGAAAAGAGTTCAAAGACTTACACACACACACACACACACACAACACACCACATCACACACACACACACACACACATCGCACACACATCACACACACACACACACACACACACACACACACAAACACACACACACACACATCACAATGACACACACACACACCACACACACACATCACACACTAACTACACACACACCACACACACACACACACACACACACACACACACACACACACACACACACACACACACACACACACACACACACACACACACACACACACACACACACACACACACACACACACACACACACACACACACATACACACACACACACACACACACACACACACACACACACACACACACACACACACACACACACACACACACACACACACACACACACACACACACACACACTCCTGCTTGTTTTTCTCTCTGTCTGACTCCTCCTCTGTTTTTTTTTCACTCATTCGTCATATTACTGCCCCACTGCTGCTATTGTCATAGCAACAACATCAAAATGTAGTACAGACACACATTCAACGGCGAAATGCAGTAAAAAGCAGTGTAACACTCTGATTATTGCAAAGAAAATCTTCAATTGATATTTCCTCTGGCTTAAATGTGGTTCTATGACCGCTGCACAGTGTAGAATGAGAAGAAGCTGAAACAAAATGTCTGGCTTCACGTTGCTCCGCAGCACGCGAGTTCTGCTGCTGCTGTTAATGGGATTTATGAGTTTTCGTGGCCACACATGTATGATTACCACTGGTCATAATACAGTGATATATCTCACCCAGAATAAGTCCTTTAACATTACAGTTTATCAGGACAGTGGTCTCAGCAGAGAAACAGGATGTTTGATCATGAATTGGAACCCCAAAGAAGCTTGGAATGGCAGGCAGTGTTAATAACTTAGCAGACATCTCAAACAAAAGCTGTTATTCAAATAATGTAGTCTCAAAAGTTACAGAAAAGGATGATTGCTAATAAATGCTTGTTAAAAACAGATTAGATTATTTGTGCTGTACTAGATCATATGGTCAATTCAGTATAATGTACATGTGCACAGCCCTATGTCTATCAGTCAGTGTTGTAGTCAAGTCACCAATTCACGAGTCCAAGTCACTCTCGAGTCACCACTCTTCGAGTCCGAGTCCAAGTCCGAGTCACCAAGGGAGAGTCCTAGTCGAGTCCGAGTCACCAAGGGAGAGTCCTAGCGAGTCCGAGTCCAAGTCCGAGTTACCAAGGGAGAAGTCCTAGTGGAGTCCGAGTCCAAGTCCGAGTCACCAAGGGAGAGTCCTAGTCGAGTCCGAGTCCAAGTCCGAGTCACCCAAGGAGTGTCCGAGTCGAGTCCGAGTCCGAGTCATCATTACCTGTGTTTGAGGTCCGAGTCCAAGTCTGAGTCACCAAGGGAGAGTCCTAGTCGAGTCCGAGTCCGAGTCATCATTACCTGTGGTTCGAGTCAGAGTCCAAGTCCGAGTCACCTAAGAAGAGTCCAAGTCAAGTCCGAGTCACAAGTCTTCATGTATTAATCTTCGTGGATATATGTGTTGTAATGTAGCCGCTCCTCTACATTGCTTTTATCCTGTCATGTTATACTAATGTGTCTATTGAACTGCTGTGAAGCCAGTTTGGCTACAAGTCTTTGTAATAGGTGCTATACAAATATAAAGCTTATTACTAATATTATTATTATTATTATTATTGTAAATGACCTATAATATGTCTAACTATATTTAAAATTAGTTACCTTTTAGAGAAGTGATTATATTTGTATGCCAATATTTTCCTATGGTAAAGTTTTCGTTTGCACTTTTATTTGATAGTAATAAGATCGGGACTCTTATTTTGAAGGAACTTTTACCGTTAAATCGGTTTACTGATGAAGATTTAGCCCCAGAAAGCACATGGCTACTTAGGCATGCAAAATGACGTCATTCTGCATGTTAAGTAGCCATGTGCTTTCGTGTTAGCGGCTGAATCTTTATTTATTGATTAGATCACGTTACTCTGATGATAGTGGTTCAAGACAGCCTATATGTCTGAACTCGATCCTTAGAGTAATGTTACGGAGCCTTCTCTTCAATATTTTTTCCACATAACGAGCATTTTGCGCTGCTCTTTTCCAATGTGGAAGCAGAATGTGTGAAAGCATACAGCACGATGCGGGGTGTGTCTCTAGACATCTTTAGACTGGAATAGCGGGGCCCAGTACGTGAACTCGCCTCGCAGGTGCACACGCCAGGATAGAGGACATCAGACTCCATAGAAAACTTGCTCGAGTCCGAGTCCAAGTCGGAGCGTCAATGTACGAGTCCGAGTCATCGTGGGGGGGGAACATTCACGAGTTCCGAGTCCAAGTCATCGTAAGCGAGAATTCACGAGTCCGAGTCCGAGTCCGAGTCATCGTGGGGGGGAACATTCACGAGTCCGAGTCCAAGTCATCGTAAGCGAGAATTCACGAGTCCGAGTCCGAGTCCGAGTCATCGTGGGGGGGAACATTCACGAGTCCGAGTCCAAGTCATCGTAAGCGAGAATTCACGAGTCCAAGTCCGATCGTAAGCGAGAGAATTCACGAGTCCAAGTCCGAGTCATCGTAAGCGAGAATTCACGAGTCCAAGTCCGAGTCGCGTCAATCAATGCGCGAGTCCAAGTCCAGGACTCGAGTACTCCATCTCTGCTATCAGTACAACAGGGTCTGACCTGAATTTATGATTATTCTTATTATAGATTAATGTTTTAATTAACTATTTTCAGCCAAGCAACTTTAATGTTGTTATCGCCGTTGAGCCACTTCCTACTTGCGCTGCACCATCTTGAAAAACTGACATAGCAAAAAATAATTTCTGCAATATATTTTGCGATATAAAAGATACAGGAATATTCATCCTATATTGTGTTGGTTGTATTGACATGTACATGAACACTTGATAAGTTATTGAAAAGGAAAACCTTTCCTTGTGTTGCAAGCTGCAAAATGTTGTAGCATGACATGTTTAAGTGATCTGCTGACATCACAATATTGTTACGAAATATCGTAAAGCCCTTTTTCCTAGAGATTTTTCTCATGAAAAGCCTTTGCAGAAAGAAGAAAGGGATCATTTCCTTAAAGTATACTGCAAAGGATAAGTGTGAAGCATCTAAACAGGAAGTGTGAAGTGTGGCTATTAAAACACTGCAAAGTCGTTTCAACTTGAATGTTTTGGGAATGAACAGTACATTATTCTGGATGTGAGTTTTATCAATAGCAGATTAAAACTGGAGTAAATCAGAGGCTCCTTACTAAAATATAATATTACGTATGCTTATAAAATGGGAAATTAGATACAAAGACCTCTCTCTGATATTAAGTTCACACAAAGGCCTGGCTATTTATAGGTAAGGCACATAACTAGTACCAGAAGTAGTTGTTAAACAGTTTTACTATGACTATCATAGTGAGCACTACAC